ACACGTCCAGAGGAGGGTGACCAAAATGGTCAAAGGTCTGGAAGCCATGTCCTATGAGGAGCGGCTTAGGGAGCTTGGAATGTTTAGCCTTACAAAAAGAAGGTTAAGAGGGGACATTATAGCCATGTTTAAATATTTGAAGGGATGTCGTGTCGAGGAAGGGACAGGTTTGTTTTCCACGGCTCCAGACACTAGGACAAGGAGCAATGGTTTCAAACTACAGGAAACAAGATTCTAACTGAATTTCAGGAAGAACCTCCTGACAGTCAGAGCTGGTTGGCAGTGGAATAGGCTGCCTCGGAGTGTGGTGAAGTCTCCTTCTTTGGAGGTTTTAAAGCAGAGGCTGGGTGGCCATCTGTCGGGAGTGCTTTGATGGAGTTCCTGCATGGCAGGGGGTTGGACTCGATGGCCCCTCTGGTCTCTTCCAACTCTGTGATTCTATGATCCCCTGAAAAGCCCTAATACGATTTTTGGAGCAAAAATTAATACAGTGGTGTCTCGCAAGACAATTTTGATTCGTTCCGTGAAAATCATCATCTTATGAAAAAATCGTCTTGCGAGGTTCCCTATGCATCGGTCTTTTAAAAAAAAGTCTTACAAAGCATTGGTCTAAAAAAAAAGTATTGCGAAGCACAGTCATAGAAAAAACGTCTTGCGAGGCACCATAGTGATCGCAAAAACCAATCGTCTTGCGGGTTTTTTGTCCCACAAGGCAATCATCTAGCAAGGCACCAGTGTATAAGACCCTGTCTTATGTTCAGGGAAACATGGTAGTTGGCAAGATTATCAGTGTGGTGATAATCTTGCAACTACTTTCAACAGAACAAGGTAACTTTGTGACTGCATTCTTAGAGAAAATGCAGTTGAAGACAGTGGAATCTGCTTTTCAGTAAACTTTATAAGATTGCAAAGAATGAGGAGGACTTGCAAAATGGAAATTTGGATGGAGAAATGAGGTGAACTTCTTGTGAACTTCCCTCTTGCTCCTGTGGTTTAAGGAAGTCTGGTACTGGACAGTCAATTGGCTACAATAGCTGTTAATTGCCACCCTGAAAGAGAGTGCAATTCCAACGGAGTTGTCATTGTGTAGCATCCTTTCAAGGGGCATTTATGGTGGGTAGGTATGGAACCTGGGAATACTATGCACCCCATTTTCTTTGGTTGGCAGGTTTCTGGAGTTATTATTTTTGACATTGTTGCTTGTTCCTGTGTCCTAATCTCTGTAATATAATGCCTGTGGACTGTAATGGCTTCCACAGATGTCCCTCTTATGTTAGGGTAGCAGTTTGAAACCACTGTGGGAGATTACTCAAGGGATTTGGAATGTATTGTTTCATCAGTGTGATGATCATCTCTTCTCTTTCTGGTTGGTAGGACAACGAATCATAGGATATATACGTACCTTGGGCAGAATTTGTATTCCTCCGGAAAAACTGAATCTGTAGCTTGAGAGTGCGTCTTGATGTAGTCTTGATGTAGTGTTCCGTCTGGATGGCCAAATGGCAACTACATCCTGGAGTGTCCTTCCTAAGCTTAGTCCTGTGCATCATATGCACCTGCTTCTGCAGAAAAAGCAATTGACTATAACCATGAATTCCTTAGTGACTGTTGGGTTGGATTAATGAAATGTTGATTGGATCTGGCTCTGAACAGTATTTAGCAACCACCAATTCCAAAACATGGAATGAGATTTCTAACCATGACAAATTCTGCAAAGCAAGTGTCCAAAGTATTGGATAGTATCTTTTCAAATCCTAAACAGTTTTCAAGCAGTTAGTGGTGCCTCGCTAGACGATTGCCTCGCAAAATGAGGAATTCACTAGACAATGACTTTTTTGAGCAATATTGTGCTTCACAAAATAATTGTTCCTATGGGCAATTTTCGCTGGATGATGTTTGGGTCCTTGCCTCGCAAGACAGGTGTTTTTTTTGACCCTGTTTTGCAAATTGGTTTCCCCCTTTTTTTTGACCCTGTTTTGCAAGATGGTTTCCTCCCCAAATTGGAATACATTAATTACATAAGACCTACTTTTTTATCCCCCCCAAAATATGGGGGAGAAAGTGTATGCTGCTGGCTTTCCAGGAAAAACAGCAGCATACACTTTCTCCCCCACTTTTTTAGGATAAAAAAGTAGATCTTATGTAATTAATGTGCTTTAATGGGGGGAAAAATCTTGCAAAGCATTATCAATAGGGCTATGGCTGCAAATTTAAATGGTAAAGGATGGTGAAAACAGACAGGAACCAAAGGATAAAGAGACTGTAAAAAAGAAAAAAACAATTCACAAACATAATGCCCCCATTAACACAAATTATTTAGTTGAGTTCCCCACATTTGGGGAAATCACAGGGGTCAACAGCACACCCAAAGTGCAATGGATGCACCTTTCCCTGGGAAAACCACTTTTATAACATGGTATTTCACCTGCAAGGTATGAGTTAGAAGGGCCCTTGCGTCTTCTACCCCCTTCTTTCCCCTAACCCCCCAAGTTATGGTGACCCCCCGGCTGCACCTCCCACTCAGTACAGGGCTGCACAGCCCCAGTCCTGCCAGAGGCTAAGAGAGCTTCTCAGTGTTTTAACAGTAGTACCCTGTCTGACACACAGACTCCCACACCAGCTTCTTCTCTCAGCTGCTGCTTCTCCTCCAGCTCTCCACACACGCTCCACATATATATACAGTACAGCCCCTCCTCCTGATGTCCCGCCTTCCACTCCCCATAGGTTGGAACTTTCCCTCCAAACCCATGACAGACAGGTAACATCAGTGCTGTATGTAACAGAGGCTATCTGAGACCCATTGAATTTCCAAAGGCAGTGCAGGTGAGGGGATTGCTTCTCCCCAAGATGGTATGGGGAACTGTGTTTTGCAAGACAGTGATTTTCCCCCCACTTGGACCGCATTAAATGGATTTCAATGCATTCCAATGGGCAACTGGGTTTCACAAGATGATGTTTTCACAAGAGAGCGATTTCCATTGAACAAATTAAAATCGTCTTGCGTGGCACCACATTATGTCCTTATCAGTTGATCTGTAATATGTTACTTGCTTAATAAAAATAAAAGGTGTACTCCGGACTTTAGCAACTAAAAAATTTATAGCTGTTTTTTACTGGAAATTTACTGGTTATTTAGAGAACAAGGGCATATCCTTTGATAGATTGCTGGCATGCCACCAAGTTCTGTCGGTCACCTTTTGAGTGATACCATGGCTTTGTGGTTAAGGTTTTGGTCTGTGGTACCCATAGCTTTAGGGACCTGGTGGCGCTGCAGGTTAAACTGCAGACGCCTCTGTGCTGCAAGGTCAGAAGACCAGCAGTCGTAAGATTGAATTCAGGCAACAGAGTGAGTTCCCGTCCCTTGTCCCAGCTCCTGCCAACCTAGCAGTTTGAAAGCAGGTACCACATTGGTGGGAAGGTAACGGCGTTCCATGTCTAGTCATGCTGGCCACGTGACCACAGAAACTGTCTATGGACAAATGCTGCCTCTACGGCTTGGAGACGGGGATGAGCACCACGCCCTAGAGTTGAACACAATTGTGCTAAATGTCAATGGGAAACTTTACCTTTACCTGTGGCTTTAATTATGTTCCTTCTGCCTCTCATTGTTTTCAGCCATCTAGCATTATTGAGGCTAAAGCATTGTCTCAACAACAAGCTTTGATTTGTGGAGATTGTATTTCTCACCTGTTTGAATTGAGAGTCAGATCCATGTTGCCGTTTTCCGTGCAACTACTCATACATAGTTTTTAGTGAACTGCTTCGCATTCTGTTCATGTTCGCTTGTCCCTGGCCATCGCAACATGTTAGAACTAGTAGAAAAGTGCATGCAGTGTTACAACACTGAAACTGTTGGTACCAGTTGCAACTTTTAGGAATTGTTGTGGTTGACACTGCTTTCGGCCTTATTTCTCAAATAATTGTCTTGTCCACTGGGAACAGACGGGCTTGTTGCCTGCTTTTGTGTGACGGATTTAACAGAGTGGGATCATAGGGTAGGTCTGTTAGTTTTCTGGAGGCAGTTCCCTTGCTATTTGAAGCATCTTTCTAAAGAATCCTTAGATGGCAGTATCAGTCTCACTGTGATGCTATTTTAGCGACCAGAGATTCTGTTGTGCGTTTAATGTTTCCTGCAATTGTTGCATTCAGTAAAGTATACTCCCATCAATAATTTAAATGCTAAAATATTAAAGTAGTAAATTCATTTTCTTACATTCAGTGAACTTGCGTGATGAACTGTTACTCCACCCCCCAGCCTCAGCAGGAAAGAGATGCTTATAAAATACTGAGTATGCTCTGGTTTAATTTTAGCTATCATTAGGCAAAGTTGCTGTGTCCTATTCCCCCCCCTCCAGATCCCTAGATATTGAGAGCTAGCTGCCAAACAGATCTTTCTCTTTGTCTTCCTGCCCCCTCTTACCATCAGCATTGTGCGTCATTTGCTTAGGGAGAAAATGCTGTACTCTGTAATATAAAGCTGCTGGACCTGGGGTATTTAGAGTGTTAATATTGCAAGCTGTTCAATTTGTAATCCTTGCCTCCCAGCTTCAAAGATTATACTAGTGAAAACAGGGTTATCTTCAAATTGAGGTGGAAAGCAGAGGCTGTGCCTAGAGAGGCCAGTTCCAAAGCTGTGTGAGTTTTGACCATGTCAGAGTCACCCTCTTTACATAGGCTGGAGGCTGTTTCTGGAATATCGCAGCAAGCGAGCTGCTTTTGTTCCACCACAGAGTTTACATTCCAAAAAGTGAGCCTCACTAGAGCTTGCTGTTGCTGCTTTTTCCCCCTGACAACAGACGGCAGGAGTAGAAGTACGAGAGACTTCATTGTCTTTACTATTGCATGGGTGGTGTGTGTGTGTGTGTGTTGTGTGTGTGTGTGTGTTGTGTGCCTCCCGTATCTCTGGTTTTAGAGTTGTTTGCTTTTTCTTTCTGCATTCTGAGAGGTGTGTTCCCTTTGGAAATATAATAAGCAAAGCTGAGATATCTTTCCCATTTCAGGTCCTATCAGGAAGCCCAAGTATGTGGAAAGCCCCCGGATACCAGGAGATGCTGTTGTCATCCCAATGAGGAAAGCGTTGCAGCCGACTGAACACAGCCAGAATGGTAAGCATGTGTGTTTGGTTTGTTTTCATTTTGAGTTAGTGGCTGGACTTAAGACTTTGCAATTGTTGTAAAAAACACTAGGAACTGAGCTCTTTGTGCAGAATGGTTTTGCAGATCTTGTGATATAGGTTTCTACATGCTGCATCTAGCCACCTTGAATGATCCATATACAATCTTTGAGAAAAACTGTGAGAATTCATGGTCACTTCTAGGGTGAGACGCATGTTTGAATTTAGCTTTTGAAGTTGCTTTCTAGTTTTTCAAATGACAGTGTTCTAATGTGCCATGTTAAAAGGATGTGTCTTGCCACTGCAGGGGAAAGCTTTCTAAATCTGACAGCAAAAACAATAGATGACTGTGCTGGCAGGGCTGGTAACAGCCCGACCCTGGAGTTAATTGGTATTCTTGAAAAGTTCCAAGTTCATTAAATTTGACTAGAACATAACAAAGTGCAGTTTCAGTGAATGTCAGCGTGAACTGACAATTAAGATGCTCTGTAAGTATTTGTACAATAATGAGGATTCCATATTCGCTGTGATGTTTTAGATTTACAACCTAATTGACATGAATAGAATCAACCTATAACATCAAGCTAAATTAGATATTTCTTTTTCCTGTGCTTTGAATTTAAGAGTAGAGTCTTCCAGATCTCTGACTCTTGGAGATAAAGCCTCCAGGGAAGCCAAAAACTTATTCCTGGCTCCTGTTCTCAGTTTTTGTACAAGTCTTGTTTGTGGGACAGTCTGTGGCTCTGCTTTTCCGACGTTCATGTTAATCTAAATTGTGTTTCCTGAGTTTCCTGTCTGTAGTTTCATTTTTCATTTCTCTAGAAACTGACTTGCTAAGCTACATAAGCAATTAAATTTGAAAGCAAATGTTATATCTATTGCAGCTTTCAAGCTGAAAGCACTGGGCAGTTCTAGTATATTTGTCATCTTGTGGATTTATTTTTTATTTTTTTGGCCCTGATTTTTAGTGATTTTGATCAGTCACAGATGCTCAGGCCATTCTGGCAGACAAATAGCTTGATTCTTTTGTTGCTGCTTCAAAAAGCAAGGGAAGTAAGATTTGTGGTTCATAATTGCATGGAGATGCTTTGTTCTCTCATCACCTCGCATGCTCCCACTGATTAGTAACTCTCCCTTTGGCAAAGTGGATCTAGGTTTTTTAGAGCCGGAGAGGTTACTAAAGAGCATCATATAAACCCTGAGGGACTGATGATCACTGTTTGCTAGTTTAGGTGGCTTAAGTCTCCATCCTCTTACTCCCATATGGCAGTGGATTTCACTGCCACTTGGCCACTGGCCTCCATACAGTGTATAGTTTAATGAGTAAAGGCAAAGGAAGAAAAGCTGTAACATTTTAAGATCCTTTTTTTTCAACTAAAAGAGACATAATTGGTGAAGAAGAAAGAAAGGAAGAAAAGCTGTAACATTTTAAGATCCCTTTTTTTTCCAACTAAAAGAGACATATAATTGGTGAAGAAGAAAGAACAATTCCAGTGATGTTGCTTATGTAAAAGCCTTTTTGTTTGGCTCTGAACATGTATTCAGATTGTTAGTCTGTAATTGTGAAGAATAAAATTCTCCTCAAGATTAGTGTGCTAATTCAAACTTTTCATGCTTTTTTTTTTTTAGCTTGGTAGGCATTTGTATGAATGATGTGGCATCTATCAGGCAAGTAAGAAGGTCATGTCTCACTGCTTTGTGGTTCATATTTCAAGGGTGTGCTAAGAGCAAGTCCACGCTAGTCCTCTTCAGATGTCCATTCATTGCACAGGTTGCATCTTCTGCCCTGTCATTCTGCTACCCAGGGCTGGGGTGTTCTCTGAAAAGAGGACTTTGCTATATGCACATTATGGTTTTCTCTATAAGGAGAAAAATTCATGCATGTTACAAATGTTATTTTTTGCCCTTAAACATGTGGGCAGCATGAGATTTATTGGGAGCAAGGCTAGCAATGCTTGCTGGCTTTCTTCACACTTTCAGTGCAAAAAGTTGAATTTTTGTGTGTGCAGAGTGTTTTTAAAGTGTCGAAAAAGCAGCCCTGAGAATGTACATTATTTCTCTATAAGGAGAAAAATTCATGCATGTTACAAATGTTATTTTTTGCCCTTAAACATGTGGGCAGCATGAGATTTATTGGGAGCAAGGCTAGCAATGCTTGCTGGCTTTCTTCACACTTTCAGTGCAAAAAGTTGAATTTTTGTGTGTGCAGAGTGTTTTTAAAGTGTCGAAAAAGCAGCCCTGAGAATGTACATTATGCTTTAAAGACTTTCAGTGCAAAAAGTTGAATTTTTGTTTGTGCAGAGTGTTAAAATAATTAAAGTGTCGAAAAAGCAGCCCTGAGAAAAGTACATTATGCTTTTAAAAAAATGAGGCTTGAACAGCAGTTTACCATAATCAGTGCAAAGCAGTTAGCCAGCTCTCCATTTGAACAAGGTCACTGTACTATAGCATTCTTGAAGTTAAATGTATTATGAATGATAACAAAGCATAAACAAAAAAATTGAAAATTGAAAATATATTGAATGTATTTTTGTTGCAGTGTGTTACCAGGACCGGATATGATATTTGCAGATCCTATAACTTCCACACACTGTAGCTATAGTACTCTGGCATTAACAGTATCTTGGTGGAACAGATTTCTGTATATTGCAGGCCTTTATTTCTCCAGGCTTTGCAAAATTTTAGTCATAACACAAATGCGAGTTTCTGAGTTACAAGCTCTTACAGAAGGTGGAGAGACAATAGGAATTCATATTATACAATTTGTTTTGATGCACCAGGCCCCTGAACCGCCAGGCCAAGCAGAAGAGATTGTTAACAAATTGTGGGCAGGTGTGGAAATCTGAAAGAAATATACTATAAATACAAGGAGGGACACAACATAATCATTCAACTCATCAGTTCAGCAGAGTAACACACTGTTTGCCATATACACAACCGTGTTGCAGTGCAGCAGCAGACTTCATTTCCAGCAGCTGGCATCACAATCATCATCGCTTAACGGGCACGCCGTTTAGCGACAAAATCGCTTAGCGATGACTTTTTGCGCTTCGTTTAGCGATGGTCCCTATGGGCGATTTTCACTTAGCGATGGTTGGGACCATGCTTCGCATAGCAATTAAATTTTGGGTCCCCTGTTTTGCTTAACGATGGTTTAAATAGCCTCATGTTTGCTGTTTTTTAAATGTTTTTCTGTTACAGTGGTGCCTCGCATAACGTTTTTAATTGGTTCCAAAAAAAAAAACCTTATGCGAAAAAAACTTTATGCGAAACACCATTTCCCATAGAGATGCATTGGAAACCGGTTAATCCGTTCCAATAGGCACGGATTGCCGTCCTTAAGCGAAAAAACCCATAGGAAACATCGTTAAACGATACAATGTATCCTCCATTGGAATGTATTGTAGCTGACTCAATAGGTTTCGATGGCTTTGCGAAGTCAATTTTTGCAAAATTAAGTGTGTCATAAAAGGGTCAAAAATGGTTTTAAATGCTTGGATTAGCTTCTGCACCCTCTAAAACGGATGCAAAAGTTAATTTGGCTTTGATCTGACTTTTCGTTAATTAATGGTGAATTTTTTCCCCCCAACTTTTGACAGCTGTCAAAATCTGACAGCTCCATTATTTCCTATGGGGGAAGAAAAAATTCACAAAAAATTAATGAAGACTCAGCAACTGTTCTAAATTCTTGGGTTCGTTAGAGGACCCCCTAAGTTGTGTGCAAACCTGATTTGGCTTTGATCTGAACTTTCGTTAATTTTTTGTAAATTGTTTCCTCCCCCAAGGGAAAGCATGGATTTTCCCCCATTGAGATGCATTGAATAGGTTTCAATGCATTTCAATTAGGGAACCGTGTTTCGCTTAGCGATGTTTCGTATGGCGATTTTCGCTTAAGGACGGCAATTCGTTCCTATTGGAATGGATTATCCGGTTTTCAATACATTTCAGTGGGAAACCGCATTTCGCTTAGCGATGAAATCGCTTAGCAGCGATTTATTCGGAATAAATTAACATCGCTAAGCGAGGCGTCACTGTATTTGTATTCATATATGAGTATCCTCACACAGGTGATGATAATGAGGGTCCAGCCCCATGGGGCCAGATGATCCACTCACCGATCCGCCGCTGATTCTTCCAATGGCTTCGCAGATCACGATCAGCTAGCCACTCTTGGCAGG